ATATAGAATACAGTTAATGTATATAAATAACAAAAGTTACATTCTATCTTATTGAATTATTTGATGAAATAACTCAAGTCCAAATTTAATAATTAAATAAGAAAATTCATATGCTTAACAATAATAAATGTCTCATAGGCATAATGTGTAAATTGGGTGAAAAACTATTACCATCAATGGCTGCACTTACACTTCAAGCCTCACAAGTGCATGGAACATCTGATACACACACGATTCAATTCAACTATGTATGGCAGGTGGGGGAAGTGGTGTTAGTATTGCACCACATCGTCCCCCAATAGCGTTCCACTTTTGCTATTATTAGTATTAATAATAACTATATAGTCAGCACTCGAGTGCTACATAAGAACCATGAAAAGTATCACTAAACATCATATAATAATGTGAAATCGTATAATCATGTGGGGCCATTTATTAGCTGTCAAGGGAGACATGCAGCCCATAAGCTGCAGGTTGGACACAGCGGCTCTAAATGATAAACTCAGACACCATCAATTTGGAATGTAAATTGCAGAGTTGGGGTTACACATACACATACACACACACACAACTTGATCTCTGCTTTTAGATAGATCAGCTTCTGTCTAAATTTTTCTTCCTCTTGTAGGATCCTTCTGAAGATTAAAAGGTATAATTCTCCAATATCCTAAGTTTTTCTACCAGCCACCATACTGATTCACAGTATCAGTGTCCCAAAGTAGGACTTCCAAAGCTTAACAATTGCTCACAACAGTGCAGGAAGACTTAACAACAGTCCCTTTAAAACATGAAGATTCTTCCTTCTACTCCAAATCTCCACTAAGTCAATCCTAAACTTCAAGTTCCTTTTATATATAGCTTCTCACTTCTAAAATTCACATTTTTAAAAATTCAAATGTGGCTTGAATTTCTTCTACTGAGAATATAAGAAAACCCTAATTCAAACTGGTTTAAACTAATGCTCCTGACACAGTAGGTGAGAGCTGTGGCTCCAGCTCTCTGCAGTTCACTCAGCAATGCCTCCTCTTGTGAGGCTTCCATCTCAGGATGGCAGCAAAGCAGCTCTGGCCATTCTAAGCATAACAGACACAACAATGTGCAGAGAGTAAATTCTTACCACAAGTTCCTACAGAGACTTCTCACCTCATTTCTCACTGACCAGGTCAGGATGGTGTGACCAGCGGCTGGCTGATACTAACTACCAAAGGTATGTGTGGTAGAGGAGGAAGGTAACCACGAGGAAGGCAGCTACGAACTACTACAGGAGCCACTGAAATGTCTATGCAAGTTTGCTGGTGCTATTGAGGAGAAGGAGCAGAAATGGCAACTGGATTGATTGCGGATTGGAGATCAACTTGTATGTAAGGTAAAAGGAATAAATTGAAGGTGGTAGTGAGTCTAAGTAGCTTTCAATTAATCCAATCTGACAGGGAAAAAATGAATGCAACAAATGGCTGATCAAACGGAGGAATGGGAAAGATCAAAATCAGGTGTTGATGTTTTAAAAAGGAAAAGGGAATAAAAAGTCTCTGAAAGATCTGAAATAGGTTTGGGAATTGAAGATTTGAACATAGAACAATTACAGATGAAGAAAAATCTTAACCACAGAACTAGTTGTGAAAGTAGAGTGATGTGTAGGTCTCTGTAAAAGAGGAAATTAGTGAAGAATAAATACACATAGCCAATTAGTTACTGACTTGAACTCTGAAATTAATAAAGTTGATGGGAAGAATCACATGTAATGAAACAGGCTAAGAGGAAGTCAGGTGGAAAAACTTGGAGACATAATGGGAGAGGAGAAAAACTAGCATTGAGGAACAAGAATGGGAAAAGAATATTCTAGCCAGGGAAACATTCAGAGAAAAGAAGCAAATGGAAAGATTACAGACCAGTGATGGAACCTTTTAGAGTTTCCAATGATACAAATGGCCAGCTTTAGCATACATGGAACAGGTTCGCCACCACTTTTAAAGACTGCCTGTAAAAACAGAAGAGTGATACTGACTAAAAACACAGTATTTAGAGGAACAAGAGGCAGCTCCTCAAAAGTTTGACCACAAAATATGAACTGTTATTTTCATTTTACTAAAAGGTAAATGTGAGGATTTTTTAATGTTATTTTTCTGCATGTGAAAAAATGCAGAAAACACCAGTTTTCTGGACTTTTTTGAATTGTATATGATAGGATGGCATACATAGTCCTTAAAAAGTGATGCACTTAGCCTTGATCCTTTTTTCTTTAAACTATTTTAAAAATTCAGATTTTATAAGACAGCATATATTACATATAACTATTTCTTTCTCAGCAGGAGGGAAGTACACAGAAGGAAAAGATGGCAATTTAAGATTCTTAAAGTCAAACACTATTAAGCACAAAGCTCAATATATTGGCAAGCCAGTAATTCTGGCAATTCAGAAAGAAAGAAAGAGAGAGAGAGAGAGAGAGAGAGAGAGAGAGAGAAAGCAAGCCTATGAAAATATTACCCATTTTTTAAAAAATATGAAAGAACTTAGAAACATTCAGAAAACCACATTATAAGATCAAAGTTCAGATTTTCCCCTTTTTCATTTTCACACTGCATATAAAAACCAGTGATTTCATAGAGAACTTTTTAAAAAATTGTAACTGATAATTAGATTATTTGTATCGGCAGTTGTAGTCTCTCAGTATGTGTTCATCTAAATATCCCTAAGGTATATCAAAATTCACTGATGAAAATATATATGTTATTGTCTTTAATGGAAAAATAAACCCTGACCTGTTTTTTCTGCAACAATATGCTATTCATCTGATACTACATATCCCTCAGTAATGAAGTAGTTTTGCAACACCTTACCAAGAGTCCAGAAATGTATGCAATAAGAACAGAAAAGCACGAGAGCAACCTTCAAGAGAATAAAAGCATTTGGCACATATGTATGAACACACACATTTTAAAATGGCAAATCTTAAAGTAGAAATAAATTATGTGAGAAATAGAAATGGATATAGACTCAGAGCCATTTTGCAAATACAAAGATTATCTCCTTTGACTAGGTAAACACAAGTCAGGAAGGCTATTACTAAATTTTGGGTCCTTTGAACAATAAGATGTTCTATTTATAAACTAGTATCATTTTTATTTTACTACTGTGTACATTTTCATATATGCTGGAGTCACTTCTTGAAACTAGTGAAAAACAAAAAGTAAGTTTTGCCTTACAGTGACTTGATCTAATTAAAAATCATATATTCTTTATATGTATTATTTAAAAATTGTTTAGCATGTATTTCCACATCACAGGTTTATTGGACACCTCCATTTCATTGAAACAAATCTTACCCTTTCTTCCTTGATTAACCATTGCTCTAACTGCGACATGCTGCATCAATTTTTAAAGCTTTTAAAGGAGAAATTACAATGCCTGCTGTGATAATTGTGATACTATCCTAACTGTTGCAATCACTTTAGAACTACTTCTTTGCTTATCATTAGCAATGCTAAATGATAAAAATAATTATATCAAGAGTATTCTGGGAAATGATTGTTTAACAATTTTTAATATTCTGAAAACTCACTCTAGAAAACTCTCAGCTGCATGATTTGGGATAGTAAGATGACATGCACCCTTCTAAATTTCCCCTAATAAAGTAAAATTCCCAGAGACTTCTCAATCATTCTCACCAACCACTCTTTTGCTAGTTAACTTCCCTTATCATCAGAGTCAATAAACTAGTTGCCAGATCAGGCTGACAAGGGATTAATCAAGGTAGAACTATTTTCTAGGATCAAATCCAGTAAGATTCAAGTCTGAAAGCTTTTGTGTAAGATGTGTGAAAATGAAGAGCAATACACAGTTGAGTACAAAGTGATCACTTCCTTCGCATTCTATGCATCTGAGAAATTCATATGTAAAAGATAAAGCATCTTCTCCGAGACACCTTATCTGAAAAAGCATCAGTTGCCCTTAAGTGCTGCCAGTTGACTTTCTAAATGTAACATAAATAGCCTACACTTGTAAAATAAAATATAATGTCTCACATTCTGTTTTCTTTTGAAAGTCAACTTATTCAAATGATTATTCTTCTGGAATTTAAGAGTTCTTGACAAGTGACAAATGACAATGCATACATGATAAACCAAGACTAAACATGGACAAAAATCAATCTCAACTTTCCTGCTTTTTATCTTACGAACATCTGGGTTTAATTCTACTCAAAGATACAGTGGAGAATCAACATTAGAGCAGCAAATCCATTTAACCTAACTGATTACACAAGAGAAAAGATGGTGTGAAATAAGTAAACTCTTTTTGGTTGCTATTAAAAGGACACAAGAGCAAAGTCTTGAAGAGACTTGTTATGCGATAAAACTATTCAGTGAGACTATCAACATCACTCATTTAATTAAGATATTATAGTTACTGTCAGAAAAATAGCCTAATAGTGACTACGACATTTTTTTAAATCCTCCTTTCCAACCAATTCTTTTTTCTTTCTTTTTGTTTTTGTTTTGGTACCAGAGATCGAACTCAGGACCTTGCGCTTGTGAGGCAGGCGGCAGAACCACTGAGCTAAATCCCTGGCCCACCAGCTCCGCCAACACCCCTCAAAACAATTCATAAGTTGAAATACACAAATAAATAAATTTTAAAATAGATGTGCTTTAGGAAAAGTCATACAATGGTAAAGAAGATTTAGTGATTTTTCTTCTATTTGAATACTTTAGAATATTGAAAAATAATTCAACTAAGGAATGGAAAGCCAAACTGGGGCAGTGGGAAGGTCTATGTTAAGGGCCAACTCTGTAAACTTCTGAAATGTTAAACTATTAAAAAAAGTTTTAAAAAATAAGAAACTAGATAACTTTTTACCTTGAAACAGTCAAACATAAAAGGCTCTTCTCTCAAGGACATCTTGATAGATTTTACAAACAGCATGGCACTCAAGTGTTTGTTGAAAGGATGGATGAACAAATAGCTAGTTGAAGCAAAAACAATTTGGAATTTGGCTTTTATACCTGATTATTCTTTTCTGTCAGCTGATTGAGAGTTTCAGATTGTTTCTCCAGGGCTCGCTCTAATTTCTTATACTTGAGCTTCCACTGCCTAATGGACTCTTGAGCTTTTGTTTTCAGGTCTTCTCTCCTCTTTTCTGCCTCTTCTCTCAGAGCCTCTGACTGCTGTAACTCACTGAGGTACTGCTCGGCCTGCTTGGTAGCATCCTCCGCATGGTGCGTCAGCTCTGAGATCTGGAAGTCAGCATGCTTACGGTCAGACTCACATGTGTCAAAGTGGTTTTGTATTTCTTTGAGTTTATCCAACATCTGTAGCTGTTGTTTTTCCCTGTTCTCCAGTTCACATATTAAAGTCTAGGAATAAAGCATATAAACATTAAAAATAAATAAGATATCAAAATTGATTGTGCAAGAGGTCATCAAATAATCAAATATGAAGCACTAATGCTACTGAAATGGAAAACATCAGTATTAAATGTTGCTAACAATAATTCTAGAAAATCTGTGTATGTCACAATCACATTAGTGTATTTCTGTGTATTTCATAATCACATTACTAAAGAACATTTTTATAGAAATATTACCTCTTTTTATGCTATTATCCAAAACGAAAAATGTGTATATTTTCCATTGTCACTAAAATAAAAAGCATTGTTGAGAAAAACAATGTGCATTATTTTAGTAAAAACCTAGGGCGTTGTTCAATCAACTAGAGGAATATCAGTTACTTAGAATGGTCAGATTATTTTAAAAAACCATTAGAAAGAATGTAACATTTCCTTCTCTGGCACACATAAAATTTTACTGTGATAAAATAAAAATCAGTAACAATAAAATGAGCACGAATATCAGAGATATCAGTATAGATAATACTATATTTAAAAAGTAAGTTGAAAGATTCCCAGGAAAGTGTTCATTGACACATTGTTTATGGCTAAACTGACATAATGTTGTAAGTTGAAACACTTATCGCAAGCGGTCATGAACCACCGGCCCATAAATAAAGACTTTTAAATAAACTTAATTTATGAAGAATATTTTGCAATTAAGAAAAAAAATCTTAAAATCTCACTTTCCTCATAAGAGCAGTCTTTAATATATTAAAATTATACTAAACATTATGACCAATACATATTTTAATGTGAGAACATTTAAGTTTAAAAACAAAAAGATACTGATTTTAACAGAGAATGCTACAACCATTAACATTAATCCACTCTTACAAACTTTGTGAGAAAGTGACACATTAATAAAGAGCTATGTGTCACATAAACTGACCCTGTTTCTAAATACCTAGGATTAACACAAGTGACATAAAATGGTCATGTGTCCAAATAAGAATGGGCTAAGGAGGGCAGAAAGACACTGTGAGCTGGATAAACAGTATGTATCTTGTACTAAAGCCCTGACAACTGAACAGACTAAAAACATTTACAAAGTTCATCTAGCCCCAACAGCAGAATTTTGAGGTCTCAATTTCAATAGCCATGATAAGTGACTCAAAGGTAAATATAATATCCCCTTGATTAAAGTCAATTTGACATTATGCTAAAAAATTCTTTTAATAATGCCTTGAAAACACATATTTTCTGAACAACAGGTTTGCATTTGCTCAGTTTGCAAAATTCAGTGCAAACAAAACAGTGAACTGAGAACTATGTACTTGTTTGTATGGAAAATTCTAAAACAAAATCAGAAAACCTTACTGACTGTGATCCACTTTGCCTTTATTCTAACAATTTTACCAATATTCTATTAATTTTATTAATGCGAGGCAACCAAGTGATTCCACCTTAAAGAGAATGGAACTGATATTTTTCATTTTTAGAACATATACATGGAATAAAGGTGATTATACCTACTATGTGTCAGATACATGATTTATAGAGAAACTAATTAGGGTTGGCTTCATTAATCGAACTGGGAAGGTATTTATACCAATAGTTAATTATAACAGCAGATAGTACTAAATGCTAAAATGTGATAGAAAGTTGCCCAAAATGGTCTATATTTTACAGTGTGACTAGAGAGGGTCTCTCTTAGGTAGTGATGTATACGTTAAGATCTAAATGATAAATAGAGCTGGCAATAATAAACAACTACAACTATTCTACAACTAATACTGAAATTTAGTGAGCACTTGGCTTGTGCCAGAGATTGAACAAATACTTTCTATTAGCTGCCTCATTGAATCCCAACATAAAACTAAAGCTAAGCTACTACTATCATGCCCAATTTGGTCACAAGCAACCAATGCTGGCAGTTAAAAAAACTTGGCTTGAGAAAGCATGAAGACTAACAAGGCCATAGGTATTTGCACCCAGCTAACCTTACTACAGAAAACATGTTTTCAACCCTTTGCCAAACGTTCTGCTTCTTAGTTGACCCTGATCCCAGGCCACCTCAGGCACCACTCCAAGGACTCTATCTTGATGTTTTTATCAGAACTGCCGCCTTTAAAGTAAAGGTCCCTCCCTCAGCCCCCAGCCCCTACTTCGGGCTTTACCCACCAATCTAACCAGTCCTTTTACTGTCCCCCTATTGCTACATCTGTTCTTTGCTGTTAGAGATGACCACTCCCTTGACATTTCTTCTGCATCTTTAAATCCTAGATTCTCTATCCTAACCTCCATATTCTTTTACTGTAGATGCACTCTTGCTTATGTTTCAAACTCCTTTGCAAAACTGGTCAACTACTGAACTTTAACAACAAAATCATCAATTCTAGATGAACTAAAAAATTTCCAAATTCCTATCTCAGGTTGCTGAGCCTTACAAGGAAAATCCACACAGAAGGATCGGTCAATGTGAATGCACTTTGAAAGCCAGCTGACCAGCAACCAAAATTTCTTCCACAAGCCTTGACCCAGTTCACAAAATGGCCATTCCAAAAAGTCTCAAATTGCACTCTACCTCACTTTTAGTAATTTAGTATAGTTCCTCCTTCAGGGAAAAAGTGAACGAATTAATGCAGAATGCCTCAAAAATGTTCTAGTGATATCATTCTGAAACTAACCAATGTCTAATCTTCTTACTCCCCTAGCTCTGAGGAAGAGAGCTCTTTTCTCTTGACACAGATTAGCCTGTATTTGGCATACCACTCCACATCTGTCAGGAGCTTCACTCTACCAATCCTGTCTTCTCTTCTACTTCCTGAACCTCTCTCTCTCCCTACTGGATCATTTTACTCACTTCTGCCTTAAAAAAATAATAATAATAATAACTAATAGTTTTTTTAAGTAAATTATAAAAACAAATTTTAAAAAAATTTACTTAACTCAGTCTTACATTATCTTCTAACTAGAAACCTTTACTTTTCATCCTTTCAGGTCAACTCCTATAAAGAATAGTCCATACTTGAGGCCCTCACAATCTTAATATTAGTTCATTTAATTTACTATATGTTTTCCCCCCTATTATGCAATTAAAACAGCACTTATCAAGATAACTAAATATCATCTACAGCCAAATACAACTGATTCTAAAAATGTTTCCTTAACTAGTTTCCTTGTAGCATATGACACTGTTAATTACTTCTAACTCATTAACTCTCTTCCCCCTTGATTTTAATATCATTTTTTACTACTTTTCCATTTTCTTCCTTTTTTTTTTTTTTTTTTTTTGTGTATTTTTTTTTTTTTTTTTATTGAGTTTATTGGTACATTTAGGGATACAGTACAGTTACATTCATTGTTGGGATCATGTACCTTTACATGGCAAGTCTTGATTCTCATTTTTTTCCCTTTACCTCTGCCCTCCCTTCACCCCCCCCTCCCCCCCCCATCTACAAACACTTTATTTTCATCTTTTCATTCTCTCACATTTTTTTCTTTTCCCTTTTTGTTCTTCCCCTACGTATCACACCTTCCCTACACCTTTAGCTCCTTTCCTCCCATTTCTAAATGTCAGTAATCTTATTAGAATCTTATGCATTGTTGCAGAATATTCACACCAGGGAAACTATT